AGTTCTTGCATCTGGACAGGGGGGATGGCTCAGTTCCAGCCTCCACGGCTAGGAGAGAGCTGGAGTGCAGTTGGGGATCAAAAACTGATGCTGGGTCTCCCTAGTGGCACAGGGTTTAAGTCTCAGACCTATCAAGCTATCACTAGCCACTGAATCATGATTTCTGGCCACTGTGGCCTGAGTTCGATCCCCAGTCAGGGAGGTGACCCACATGGAGCAGCAGACCTCTCCTGACCTGCCCACTGCTCCCCTCAGCAGTAGATCTGCCTGTTCTCCTCTGTCTCTGGTGAATCCTTGCACCTCTGGCCTACACCTCAGTTCTTGTATGTATAAATAAATAAATCTTTAAAATAAAATACCTGATGCAGAGGGTGACCACGTGACATTCACTACACATTGCCACAACGACCCAAAGAGAGCCAAGATTTGTTTGCTTCTTTTTTTCTTTCAGAAGAATTTCTGTGGCAGACCATTGGAAGATAACTCTTCTAAGGTCATGATGCCCAGTCCCCATGGATAAGAAAACAGAAGCTTCCATAACATGATATAGGGCTTTGGCCTTTTTATTTTCTTTTTTACAGGTAATTCCACACGTAAAAGACTTCATAAAGCACTATGGCTCGAAGTATACTCCAGGTGAGCTGCTGAGGATGGAGCTGGCTATTTTGGACAAACTGCACTGGGACCTCTATATCGGGACGCCGCTGGGCTTCTTAACCACAGTAAGTAGAAGTTTGCAGAGTCTACCCTGGACTCATTTTTGCCTTTGGAACAGCTGATCACAACACAGGACAGCTAAGCACAGGCGTGCACACATCCCGGCCCATGCACCACAGGGAGGTGACCCACGAGGCTCACGACATACAGAAGAGTGAAAATGTATCTTAAATCCAACACAGTTCCACCAGACTCCTACTTTAAAGAACATCAAAATAACTACAAAGATTTGTAGACGGCACTATTATGGTTAGTTTCTCTTTTAAATACACACTGCAAAAATATTTAGCTTTCCATTCTATGAATACTGTACATAAAAAGCTGTCTGCTTTTCTACACTTTACACACATTCACTTAGCTGTCTTTATTCACCTACACACAATCCTTGAGGCTTTAGACCATATTGATCTGGCACTTAAAAAAATGTCTTATTAGTCTGTACTTGTTTTAGTTGGGGAGTGATGATCATCCTTCTGATATGATTCGGTTAGTAAGGCAAAATTATGCACTGTGGAAATGTCATGGGGTTTTGGTCTGTTATGAAGCATGAAGATTAAATCACTGAAAGGCTGTTTCATAGTGAAAACTGGCCACTGTGGCCAAGTTGCAGAGTTTCTTCTCTTGTCTGGTAGATACAAGTAACTTTTCTACTATCTTAATCTTGAATTGTATACTTCTGTTTTTCAGAAATGAAACATTGTCATCTAGGTACTTTAGGCTCATAAGGGCCATGTCACAAAGGCAACTCATTTCTTTCTCTCCAAGGTTGAAGCTCAACTTGGCCACAGACTGGGGGTAAAGTCTCAAGTCCCCTGTGGGGCCGTGGATGGGAATGGGAAGGGTTGGGCAACATTTGATGTTCCCTGATGGAAATTTAAATTGTTTGCACTTCTGGTCACTGAGATATGAAAAGGATGGGGTTTTCTGTTCTGACATTAAAAACCACGGTCTCCAGTTCCACGCCCTGGTGGTCCTGGACTGGCCCCAAGGGATGGAGCTGCTGCCTCAGAGGAATCCTTCCCTCCACGTCGAATCCCTGACCAGGCAGCTGCAGCACTGTATGGCGGGCCACCAGGTGCTGCAGTTCAAGGGCTCCACACTGGCCTTGGTCATCATCACCTTAGAGTTGGAGAGGCTCATGCCCGACTGCTGTGCGCCTATATCTGATCTGCTAAAGAAAGCACAGGTAGATATCAACTTTGCCCCCACCAGGATCTCAGGTTTGCCCTTTAAGCTGACACTCTTGCCCCAGCATGCTCCAGCATGATGACTGTGTGAAGGGTCTGCCTTAGTACAGGTTTCCCACGCCTGGCATGCCCTCTGGACCAGAGCAAGGGCCACATGTTTCCATCACAGGATGATCTGGGGTGGTCTCTGCTACAGTGAGAGACTTCTCTTTTCAGCCAGAAAGATGGGGAGACATGCCCTGTTCAGGAGCAAGCAATCCTGTACTTAACATTGCAGACCCCTCACCCTGTAGATGAATATATGGTAGCAGGCACTGGGGGGCCAGAATCAATCAGGAGGGAGGGGTAGGATGGAATGCAGAGTTAGAGCAGTGACTGTTTTATAGGTTAGGAATGGATGTCCCTGAAATGGTGGGGTTAATGGTTCTATGTTGGGTGCTTGGACCTCGAGGAAGTTGCTCCATGCTAATATTTGGGCACTCTATGGCTCATTCTTTGCAATGTAAAATGACTTTGCCTCAAGGATAACCACTCTGTTCTAATCACAGGTCAAAACTGAACAGTTCAGCTGCAAGGAACTTATAGAGCAGCAGCTGAGAAGTGTATAGTCATCCTCCTGCACAACTTCCTATTTTACCTGCCAGCCTCTGCACCCCTGCCCCAGTGCCCTTCAGAGTATAATGGTAGCTCCTCCTTGCTTGAACTCCTCCAAACTCTAGGCTTTATGAATCCTGTAAAAAAAAAAAAAAGTGGCCCTGGAAGAGCAACTGAAAAAAAAAGAAAAGAAAAAAGGCAAGTCCTTAGAAGAAAATAAGGGAGCAAAGGCAAGATCACTAGATTAAGAGCAGCCTGACAGATCCCAACTTTGCCAGGCCTGAGACCAGAGAATGAAAGAAAGCTCGTACTGAAGCTTGACCTTCCTTCCTTATCCAGCAGGGGCTTGTATTGGTCCCTAAGAAAGCTGGAGGCCAAAGGTAGACCACCTTCGGGTGGATGGGCTGGGACTAGCTTCAGGGCCCAGCAACCCTGCCTGCACAGCGGGCCCAGCAACCCTGCCTTCAGGGCCCAGCAACCCTGCCTGCACAGCGGAAATGGACAGTCTCTCCAGATATACCTATGTGGACATGGCCATCACTTGCATCTTCTTCACAGGGGGCAGGCTTATAAAGTATGCTTTAATACACGGTCATTAGATCAAGCTGTAAGCTTGTTTTTCTTTGGTTTCTTTAGCAAAGTCATCTATTAGCCCAGCGAGAGAAATTATTCCAGTCCTGAATGGTATTGCAAGGCGACCCCTGTGATGGGGAGGCACATTCTGAGAGCTTTCTGTTGAGATGAGAAGGTTCTGCGACGGAGCCTTCTCCAGCCACTGCCCTGCCAGGCGGTGGAGGAGGCCGCTAGCATGGCTGTGGGGAGACGCCAGCTGCCTCTCTGAAGTTGTGACACTATAGAGCCATTCTCTGAGCAGTGCAGCCCAGCTGGCAGCTCTGCCAGCTGGAGCTGTGTAAGTGGTAAAGGGATAGGAATCACTGAGCCACACACTTAGACGTGGTTTGTGAAACCTTTCCACTGAGAACCGTTTGTTGTAACTGGGAGTATGATCTGCTAGTCAGTGCAAAGTGGCCAGGGACCAGGTATACTAAACCATGACTGTATTAAGGAACCAAGACCATTCCTGACATTTTCTTGATGCACATTTGCTAGGTATTTTAGCCCCTTCAGCAGTTTGCATTTTGCTACATGTACTGATATCATGTACACTATGTATAGTACCCGGATTGCAGTGAGTCAATTATACTGGGAATAGCATGGCCTGGCTCCCCCGTCCCACACAGACTGAAGGCCAGCCTCTGGGCCTGCCTAGAGCCTCCTACGCCCCTTTTCCTTTCCACTGTGACTGAGCTCTGAGGGTCATAGTGCAGGCCCACACCAGTGCAGCGGTCTCTGACAATGAGGAATTACAGCTCTTTGCTCTTCTTAGCCAAGCAGTAAGCTGAGTCCCAAGTTGATGCTACCAGCCCCAATCTGGTTAAGACCTTACACTCGTCAGGACTTTATTACCCCAGAGGGGTGAGCCAGGTTCTACAGTGTTGTTCCCTCCTCCAGAGAGGCTCTTCTCCTGAGGCTTCCTGAGTCTCTGTCCTTCAAAGCAGGACAAGAGTTTGATGCTCTTCGTGCATCCCCGTGGGATGAGCTATACCCGCAGTGGGGATGTCTACAGTCTTCCCAGTGGGCTGTGAGTTCCCATCCCTAGTCCCCAGCTCATACCCATCTTCCCAGAGAGGAGCTGGCTAATGCCCAATAGAGACAGCATCTCAGCAAAGGGACCTGTAAGCTCCACCAGCCGTTTGCTCTTCTTCAACCAAATGCCTGCCTTCTGTCGGCGCAACCCAGGCCTGCAAAACCATCTCTGGTAACCGGCCCACTGTGAGAAGCCACACTGTGATACTGGCTACATTTCCATGGTTCCCCCTTCATCCCATGGGGCTGCCAAGAAGCAGCTGTAGTTCAGGAAATAGGAGTACAGACTACAGATGCAAATATCAAATCCCAATTCCTCCAATAAACTGTGTGACCTAATGTGTGGGTGATTGTTAAACCTCTGTGCGTTGCATGTAAAATGAAGAGAACGGTACTTAATAATAGATTATGAAGATGAGAGGGATTAATGCACGTCATGCACTTTAGAACAATGCCCGCACACAAGAACTCAAATATTAGTTTTCCCGTGCCGTATTGCCTCTACGGGGATGTAAACTCAAGAGCAGGGTTTGCTTTCTCTCGTGTCCTGCACCCATTTGCCTAATAACAATTCACAAATTAGCTGTATCTCCTCTTTTCTATCTGTGACCCTTTTCCTCTGTCCCAAGTCTACTAAAAAGTCTTGCACTAATGCCCACAGAAATATTTATTATAAAAACAATTCCTATAGAAGATGATCAACCCCCAAAGTTCACAGAAAAGCTACATTTTACCACAGTGGTAGCAGATTAATAGGCTAGAACACATGTTAAATCAGAAAAGCTACTACCCAAAAAAGACACGACAAAAACTCAAAATAAATGCAAAATTTAATGAAAAAAAAAAAAGAGTATACAAAGTGAATGAAAAGGAACAAAAACAATCAATGAGTGGAATAAATGAATTAACAGTGAAGCAGTTTTAGAAAAGCATGGTAACGTAACATATTAGCAAGCCACACTTCCTTCAGGCCTCTTATCCAGTAATGAGCCCCCTTTAACAGGGAACACCCACACAGACATGTATGTACATATTCAATCCATCTGCACAATTACAAACTACCTACATTCAGGTCACTCAGGACTAAGGAGACAAAACATCCTGATTTGCCTGAGAAGGTCTGGTTTGACCTGTCTATTTAGAATAATTATTAACAGCATCTCCTATCACTCTCCAAAGTTTGAGTCTGGACAATAAATTACATGGTGACTCTACCCAAAATAAACACGGTAGACATGGCAGTACATGTAACATGACTCCATCGACAACCCTAATAATAAACATGATACTGAGGGGGAAAAAAAGGAGAAGTGGATCAGATCCTGCAGATAGGTCATGTGTGAGGGGCAGCTTGCTAAATACTGGCAAGTTTTAAGTCACCTTGTGCCCCGAGGAGTGATTTGGGCTCAGGTAGTTATGACAAAATTGCAAACAAAACAGCACAGGGAGAGAATTTTGGTGAGACACACTGAAACGGAGGAGACCCTAGAAAGTGATGGCAGGTCTCCCCAGGGATGCTGGGAAGCCTTGGGCCTGCAGAGAAGTAACCAGCCACCATTCTGGCCTTCCTGTGCCTCCAAGGGGTGGCCTCAGGCTGCGGTGGAATCTTTCCATCCCGTGGTCCCCCGGCTGGCCCCTGAACCGGAATCCTCATTTCTCATGTAACTAGTGATCGTGCTGGGTCACTGAACCACATCTTTGGAGACACATTAGTCAAGAGACCCTGTAACAGGTTATACTTTGACCCAAGTGAGTACAATTTCTGACACATAATTACCCTAGAGACAATCCAGCCCCAGCCCACATCTGCCTCGGAGATGCTGGCCTGCCGTTCTGGATTCCCATACCAGAGCACTGGCTATCAGTCACAACCAGAGGGGATCTACTGTGAGGCTAATGAACCTTAATCTCAGGGTCCCTTCCAAGATCCAGTATCTAATTTTATGTTCATATTTTTTTCTTGAAGGTTTTTCAAGGAGTTCAAGCTTTCAACCCCTCAAAATCTGGATCCAGCCCTCCTCCTGGATAACACCTAGAGGATTTTCACTTTGAGCCTTAACAAAGCCTTAACAAAGAGGCTCTCATGTGTAAGGGCTGCCTTTTGCTGGTGATGCCTCAGCAGACACACACAGCACACTTGCCACCTTCCTATGAATGAAATAAATCTCAGGAGAATGGGTGTAAGCAGGACTTGGCCCTGGAAATCAATGAAGCAGGTCAAGGGAGAAGGAGGGAAGACAGGAAGGAAGATGGAGGACACCAAGAACACACCACTAATCCAACAATAAGTGAGCGTAGCTTCCTCGGGTTTCTGATAGAAAGTGCACTAGACTGTGAGCTCCTTGAGGGCAGGGCCGTGAGTTACTCTGTAGCCTACTTTAGCACAGAGCACCATCGATAGTCTATGAAATCTTCTCATTGATTCATTTACCAGGCCATATATTCTACCCTCTCCATGGCTTGCAAACCAGCGAGAACATGGAAGAATCAATGCTGCTTGGACTTTCTTCAAATGTTTCCCTTAAGAATGCAGTCAAAGGGAAAAGCTTCTTTGCAGACTTTTTTTTCCCTCCTTAACTTGTCCATATACATCAGACACTTTCTGTCTTTGCCCTGTGATTCAGCTATGAGAAAGCAAACAATGACCTGCTGAAAACCTTTCCCAGCTGAGTCCTCTGTGCATTCAGAAAATGGAGGGAAGAAGGGGGGTGCCTTAGTTGGAGTCAAACACTTAACACACATGGCGGTGGTCCCTGTTTACAGATAGCACCTGGAGGCACACAGACAGGCTTTGGGCTGCTGTTCCATTTACATTCACAGTAAAAACACTGGAGGAGGTCTCGTTCATGTTCAACTTCCATCCGTAAAGAAATTCCAAACACTGTCATTACAGGATGTTTATTCCCCACCTCTCCCTGTATATTATAAGGGTACTTGATACAGAAGAAAGGTTTAGAGATAGTTTTAGTTTGTAAAAATCAGGGACTTTGTGTTACTGCTGAAAATAATGGGAGAGGATATTATTTGTCTTTATGCTTATGCCAAATAAAAATTTAGAAGTGTTTTAAAAGTTGTTATTGAACTCGAGCTCTCGGTTAGAAAAAACTTAAAAAGATGGGAAACTGGGCAAATTTCGCAGCACGTATACCAGACCGCGAGGCCACACCTACGACACGCACGTACGCTGTCTCCCAGCGTCCCCGCAGGGCCTCGGTTAGAGTATCACAGAACTGCTCCATCAGGGGATAGTGACACTGTAAATGGAAGACCAGCCACTGGCTCTGAAAAAAATAAACCTCATCAGTTTTGGATTCCAGCATTCATGGCTTTGACTGTGTTTGCATAGAAAGGGGAGACCCCAGAGCCCCCAGGCCTGGGGCAGCCTGGGGTGGGAAAGGGGCCAAGCAAGGCTGTAAACACTGGCGTCTGTCTGTACCAGCTCCCAGTCGGTCCTCACACCATGTATGGGAGAAGGGTCACAAGGTGTAACTCAAGCAACTTAACACATGAAAGTCTACAGTCCGCTCTTGACAGTTAAGCCTGTGCGTGCGTTAACTGAAAAATAAAAATAAAACAAACAAAACAAAAATAGACACATTAAAAGATACACAGACTACCAAATCAAACAGAAGCAAAAGACAGCGATGGACACTGGGGAAGTACAGTCAGTTTGGTATTTGTGACAGGAGTAGAGTAGAGAATTTGTTTGGGTTTGTGAGGTCCAGGCTGAGGGTCAAGGTCTGATTTGGAAGCAATTTTGCCAAAATGCATTAAAACGTAAAAATGAGTACAACCAATAGAAGCCACTAAATGGGCATGGAAAAGATAGCCCAGCCTCCAAAACGCACTTATGACTTCACCCCACTTCCCCAACCAGGGCAGGAAAATGGGCAATCCACAGCCACCCCACCTGGTTCACTCCTGGCCGCCACCAGAAGATGGGAAGAGAGGTTTCTCTCCCGAAGCCAAACTGACTGAAGCTTTCTGGCATGTCCAGCAAATAGAAAAGACCTGTTGTCCAAGCCATGTGGGAAAAGCAGGGGGACCACCTCTGACAGCTGTAACCAGTGCCCCTTGCAGTCGCCGGCAGCCAGCCCTGCCCCCCACCCCTCACCTGGTTACAAGTCCTCCAGTTTACTTCCTTACTGATTTCCCCACAGTTTATTCCCTGAGGGACCCTGGCTGCCTTTTCTCTGACAAGAGGCCTCACCAAAGTGGCAGGGAACCAGCAAGTCTCTTAGGATGCCAGGACTTGGACCATCTTCCCACAGAGCCCCCTTTTAGAAGAAACCAGATTTCTGAGCCACTAGCTCCAAACCCACACAGGTTCCAATTCACAGAGCCCCACACTCACCAAGCCAAGAGCTGGACATGGGACCAGGGCTGGAAGCAAATGCAAGGCAAAGGGGAAATTCACGTGAATGAGGGGTAGAGAGGGCTGGGGTCCTCTCTGGGGACAGGCGGGGCCTCCTTTATCCCAGCAATGCCTGCAGCTACTGTGGGGACACCAGTCACCAGAACGAGGCAGACTACACAAAGGGGGAGGCTGTGTCCCAAAGCAGAGGACAGGCCTTAGGAATGAGAGCCGGCACCTAATTCTTAAATGCCTGGTTTCCCCCTCCCCACCTGCCCCCCCTCCCACCTCAGGTCTCCCCCAGGGGAAAGTCCTTTCTGCTTCTTTTCCTTAGGTGTGTCTGTGCCTCAGTGTATGTCTTAGGGACTGTGCATGTTGGTAGAGGTGCCTGACACTGTGACAGGGCAGGTGAGAAAGGCAGTTTATGTGCATGCACGAGAGTGCATGTGTTAGGAAGTGAAATACTGGCGGGATGGAGCAGAAGCAGCATCCCAGGACCACGGCTAGCTAAGGACAGCTTGGCCCCTAAGCACAGCCACCAAAGAAGCAAGGACCTGGTTACACACATTCCAGGAGGAAGTGGGCATTCAAGAATGGGGCATCCTGCTGAGTTCTAGGTTGGCCAGAGAAGGAGGCAGCTGACAAAGGCCAGGAGTGATGAGCTCTCCACAGTGTGCCCTGATGTGAGCACTGGGTGAAGCAGGCAGGGAAAGGAGGTTCCCAGGTAGTCAGGGAATCTGGGCTCCAGCAGGGAGTGTGAAACACAAGAAGTGACTCAGAGTTGCCCCCACCTGGCCAATAAGCTGACTGCACCCCTGGAGGTGAAAAAGCCTCCCTGCCCTGCTCTGGCCTCTCCTGGTCTGTTCTCCAGAGGACCCACTTCAGCCGCAATTCTGGCTGAGCAGCGCCTCTCCCTGGCAGGACCCACAGAGACTCAGCAGGGAGCTGCTGTCCTTCCTTTGGGCAACCAGAGTTCAGAGTGTGCAGTGGTCAGTACTAAAAGGGCCACGTCTGCTGTCTCAGCGACCACCCGCCAGCCAGTTTGAGCCCCACCCACTGCCTTGGAGACCGAAGGGGACATGCCACTGCTGTCCCAGGAGAAACAGGAGCTCTGGCAAACTGCCTGGAAATGCTGACATTCGCAGGTCCCGTCTCTCTCCTGTTCTGAAAAGACCTTTCCTGAAACCCCCACATATTCCTGAGGGTCAGCCTACGCCTGGTGGCCCAGTCTTTACCATACCAGCTACGAGGGGGCCTGAGAGAGAGAGGATATTACCTGTGCTCGAGAAAGCACGCAGATACAAGAGGAGAGACCCAGAACGAAAGATGGCAAGATTACTTGTGAAAGAAAAAGAAGGTATGCCAGAATGCAAGTGAGAATGAGAAAACACAAGTGGCAGACGGTGGGAGGGGGTGAGCAACAAGAGTGAGTGAGAGCAAGAGCGGACAGGAGCGGAGCCCGGCAGTGACCACCCAGGGAGCCAGTGCAGTGCCCGGCAGGCCCCAGCACCTACTTCTTCCGGTCCTTGTCCTTCCGCAGGGGCTGCTGCGAGGTGGCATGCAAGGCCTGAGACTGCAGAGCCTCCACAGCGGCCTTCCTGCGCGTGAAGGCGCTGGTCTCCTCCTCCAGCTCTCGGCGTTTTTCCTCCACCTTGCGCTTCTCCTCCTGATGGATCCGCTTTAGGTGCTCAAACTTCTCGTGAAGCTGGGAGCAGAAGCGGGGGGAGCCCAGGCTCCTGGGTGGGCAGGGAAGGGACCCAGCACTGCCCCCCCAGACTCCCCCACTGGGCCAGCCCTGCCCTCTCACCTGGCGTCACCTTGGACCCCAAGCCCACACTCACCTCCCTTTCCTTCTCCTTCAACTCCAGCTCAGTCTCCTTCACTTTGTTGACAAACATCTGCCTCATCTCTTCTTCCTTCCGCTGCAGCTCATTCAGAAACTCCTTCCTCTTGGCCTCGTATGTCTCTTGCAGGCTGTGCAGACCCAGAGAAAAGAGGCCAGAGTGGGATTTAAGCCGGATAGGATGGAGCAGAGCCGGAGAAGCAGAATCAGGTGGGCGCTGGGGATAAGCAAAAGCCGGGCTCCCAGCAGCCTCTCTCCCTGGCCCACAAGACCCTAGAAGCAGATGCCAGCATGGCGGGTCAGGCTGAGCTGTGAAGACAGGCTCACTCCCTGCGCAGGCTGTCACCTGAAGGGTTGGCTGTCACCGTCGCTGTCCTGGAAGCCCATCTCCTCCAACTTGCAGCGCCGGTACAGCTCGTAGTGTCGGCTGTGAGTCTGTTCACGGAGGTCCTCCATGTTCACCCGGATCAGCATCTCCCGGAGCTTGACGAAGTCGCAGTGGTTCTCATTCTCCACTGAAAGCAGAGGCGCGTGGGGCATCAGGCAGGCACACAGATGGGCACAGGGGGACAGGGCACAAGCAGTGGCCGGAGAGCTCGAGGCAGACTTCAGAGGCAGAACAAGCAACAGCTGGGCACAGGGAGCACACAGGACCGGGGTCACAGGCAGCAGAGCAGGGTAAGGGACTGAGCAGGGCTCCCCGCCAAGGCGGCGGTCTCCCCACCACACTCACCCTGCACCACGCCCCAAGGGTACTGCCGTGCTCGGACCAGCTTGTTCCCCACCTTCACCTCCTCGGTGCTGCCCACTACTGCAAAGGGCAGGTGTGCCTGGAAAGGGCCCCAAGGGCACGTGAGCACTGAGCTGACACAGGCTTACGGACAAAACTTCCCTTGCTGCCCCTGGGCCCCAGGAAGCGGCAGCACAGACCGAATCAAGGCCTGGCCAGATGCTCTCTTCCTAGAGAAATATCCAGGATCCTCCAGTCAGAAGGGTGAGGAATGCGAAGAACAAAGAAGCACCCTGCCTACTGTTGGTGTTCTCTCAGTGCTTGGGCCACCCACGGGCCACTCTAAGCTCCTTCGAAGGACCTGAGGGGCTGACTCTCTTCTCAGTCCCCAGCCCTCGGCATCACACCTGTTCACTCCTACAGGTGTTGGGGCAGCACCTTGAGTCCGTATCTTGTGAGATTAAGTCCAGGGGAGCCCCAGTGCAAGCCCAGTGCCCGCTTCCTCCCTTCCCATGTGCACAGGACATAGGCTTCGCCGGCTCCCAGAGCCCCACACATCTATCCTGGAGAAGCTACGGCTGGATCCTGCGGAATGAGGGTCTCTGGGGGCTGTGGCAGCTCTGTGCCAGCTACGAGGCCGCTGGCCCCAGAGCCCAGAGGCCCTTGCCCAATGCTCACATTCATGACGGCGTTAATTTCTGCGACGGCCTCGTCGTCGGTGGGAAACTGGTAGATCTGGACCCCATTGCTGACCAGCTCGCCCATGATCTTGATCTTGAACTTGTGAAGCTCACTCTTGGAGATGGTGTCAGCCTTGGCGATGATGGGAATAATGTTCACCTGCCAGGGTGAGGGGAGAGGCGGCAGCAGATAAGTTGCTCCCTGACTGTCACCCATCTGGGCCGAGGAGCAGGAAGCCAAAGAGTTGGAGCTGCTTTCATGGGTAGTCCCAGCTGTGGCGACTCATGACTTTGGCCAACTGCTCACACCCTGGCTCCTCACACCACCACCCGGTCCCAAAGACCCCCCGTCTAGGCCCACCCGGCCATGAGCCAGAGTTCTGAAGCCTAACTAGGGCCTAATTGCAGGTGGCAGGGCCCAGGACCTCCATAAGCTGGGCAGGAGACTCAGCAGCAGCAGTCACAGGAAGACTTCAGCATCTCCCAGGGAAAGGTTATTCCACGTTACACAGTGGAAACTAACTCCTGAGGTGGGGGCGCCCCGGACAAGGGGCTGTGGGCCACACACCCTCCCCACAGTCCCCACGTCACTCCTCATTCACATTCCAGTGCTGGGCTTCACCTCTCTCCAACCCAGTGGGCACAGGAAGGTGCCAAGAGAAATGAAGGAAACAGAGGAACTAGGGACTAGGGAAAGGAAATGAGCAGAGAAGAGGCCGAGGTGGGGAGCAGGATGCTCCAGGGAGAGGGGTGGCGGTGTGGGCTGGGGGTCGGCTGGAGACGGAGAGGGGCCAAGGGCCAGACCCCAGGGGCAGGGGTGGAGAGAGTGCCCAGAGCAATGGCAGCCTGGGAGGAAGGGACAGAGGCAAGGGGCGGCGCCCAGCCAGCAGAGGGCCCGGACTGCAGCAGCCAGTGGCTGCAGCCTCCCACACCCGCCTCGTGGAGGACGATGGGGCCCCTGGCGCTCGGGGTGAGAGGTGCGTCGTACTTTGCTGTCCAGTTTCTTCATGGTCACCAGATCCAGGGACTTGAGGGAGTGCCCCGTGGGCGTAATGAAGTAGAGGCAGACATGGATCCTCGTGTCATGGTAGTCGAAGAGCGAGCGGCGGATCTTCAGCTCCTCCTGCAGGTAGTTTTCAAACTGCGCATCAATGTAGTCGACGATGGGCCTGTAACTACAAACAGCTCCGTCACCGAGGAGGCAGGTGGCTGAGCACACCATGGGGGCTCGGGTCCCAGCCCGACGGCCCAGCAGTCTTCCCTCCTTGGGAGTAAACAGCTTCTGCATGGGGGTCCCTGCCCGGGTGCAGGCTGACCCCAGCTCCTCACCCAACAGGGGCCCTCGGGGGCTCAGCTACCCCCCACCCGGACACAGAGGCCCTCCCCTGGTCCTTATGGTCCCGGCACCCAACAGGGACAGCCTGGAATAACAGATCTCGGGCAGCCTTAGAAGCAAGACCAACAGGTGGGTGGCATGAGCCTGGCCGCCCTTCCCGCCTCTTGCCTCTCGTCCTTATTGATCTGATCCCCGAAGCCCACGGCGTCCACGATGGTCAGCTTGAGGTGCACGTTGCTCTCTTGGAGGTTGTAGGTCTGTGGCCGCAAGCGCACACATTCCTCATGGTGACTGGCTTCCTCTGTCTCGAAGGTGGTGTTGAAGAGCGTGTTCATCAGTGTGGACTTGCCGATGCCAGTCTCCCCTGGGAAGCAGGGAGCGGGGGAGGCGGTGTCAGGGCTGGAGGTGGGGCCATCCCTGCTGTTGGCTGGATGGGGTTCAGCACTCTCGGACTCCATACAGGAGGGACGGCCAGGTCTCCCATTCCCTCCCTCGTCGTCCCATTCCCAGGAGCCATCCCTCTCAGAGGTCCTGAATGTGTGGAAGAAAGAACCAGAGGACCAACTTGGATATGACATGTGGCCGGTGAGGTGTGTGGAAGCCTCACAGTGGGGAAGCAGTAGAGCCAGGCATTGGTGAGGACACCCCTGGCCCATGGCTGCTGTCAGTGGGGCCCAGTCCCCAAATACAGAGCCTGCCGCGGTCCGGGACGCAAGCTCTCCAGGACCAGTCTGACATGCCCAGTGTCTCCGCCTGCCTACCCTAGGCAGTCCCAGCACCTCACACTAGTACATGTGTGTGTGTGCTGGTGGGGGCTGAGGGTCGGCCGCTTCCCAAGGACTATCCACAGCCTGCAGGTGCCAGAGCTGGGCCCCCTGTGGAGACACTGACAGCTCTTTGTGGTCCTCTGGGAGCCCCAGGTCCTGAGGTACAGGGATCCCCAGGGCCTCCCTGTTTGGGGCTGTATTTGCTCAGGTGTGTGCTGGAGCTGGGACTACATTCTACTGTGCTGGAGGGAGAGTTCTGTTTACCAGTGTTCTTGACACATAGTAGGAACCAGGAGTAAATGTTTTTTTAAATAAACAAACAAACCTCCGTGATAAACAGCTTACAAAGCACTTTCACATGCCTAATCCTGTTTACTTGTCACTGGCAACTCTGAGTTGGGGCCTGGCTCCAATTCTGTCCTTGATTCCACAGAGATGCTACCACAGCCTCATCCTGACCCCTCCTCCTGACCGACAGGAGGCCATCTCCCAGAAGGCCGTGACCCCCCTGTCTGAGGCTGCCCCTGGCAGGGACGGGCACTCACCTACACAGAGGATGTTGAAGCTGAAGCCCTGAGTGACCGACTTACTGACCAGCTGGTCAGGGAGACTGTCGAAGCCCACATGGCCGCCCAGGGAGAGGCTCCGGGGCTGTGGCTCTGCATTCTGCCAAGAGAGAAACAGAGGGAGGCAGTGAGACCCCCGCCCCAGCACAGAGCAGCCAAGCTGGGGGAGGTTAAACCTGAGTCAATCTTGTCTGAATTCTCAGCAGATCTTGGAACACAACTCTAGTGCTCCAGAGCTCAGCTCCCGGCCGTTTCCACAGAGGGAGCCCAGTGGGCCTCAGGGCCCCTGAAACCAGCTGGGAAAGGCACTTTCGCCCACAGCTCTGTTCTACCTGGACTTGCATGGGCTTGGGGGGGATCTCCTCTTTCTTGGCAGATGGCCCCAGGACCTGGGGCATCTGTCCGGGAGGGCTCCCCTGTCTTCTTACTCAGGAGGGGACCCCAATGGCTTCAAGAGGCCGAGAATGAAGAGTGTGCACGAGCCTGCAGCCCCTCCACAGGTCCCAACCTCCCCTGACGGAGAGGTGGGTCTGGCCTCTCCTTCTACTCGTGCACCAGGAGGGCATCTCCTGCGTCCTTGGCCCTCGCTCACCCAAGGGCGGAATGGACATGTGGCTCTGCTACAGAGGCCTGGCTTGGAACCACCACGGGCCTCAGGGCTGGTTTCTTAGGGCGTCACGGCCCTGAGGCCTCAGCGATACCCTCTGTGGATCTCAGGCTTGGCCTCACGCCACCTCCCACCCTCAGGCCAGCCCTGGCTGTTTACGCAGAGGAGTCCCCATGAGATTGTGGAGACCTCGGCAGAGAGGCAGCAGAAGCCCTGAATGAGCTCGGGGCCCCTGGGGTTGGCCCGTAGCCCTATAAAAAGAAACCACGGGGCCCAAAGCAGAAGGTCAGGTCAGACTCCAATTTGTGTGGATGGTTTCTTAGCTTCCCTGGGGACGGGGATAATAATCCAGTCTCCGAGGGAGGGTTCCCAGGCTCAGCCAGCCTGGGTTTGGCCCCCCAGCAGCTCCATGTTGGGCAGAAACATGCCTCCTTCACTGCTGAGGCCCTTTGTGCTGACCCCAGCCTGAGAGAGCAGGACCGGAAAGGGCAGTGGGTCTGGGTTTCCTCCTGCCCATTCTGCAGACAGCGCCAAGAGCTACCGATGAGCCCTACTACAAAGCGGGTTCCTGCTCCCGGGCAGAGGAACCTCAGGACCCGGGCTCCACTGTCCTTCTGCAGTGGGGTCTGAACCCCTCTAACTCTTTCTTCCCAACCAGGGCCCTCTGGCATCAAACCCAACCTCCTCCTCTCCACTATGTACTGTCTCCTGGCCATCTTGCCCCTGGCCACCCTCAAGGGCATGTGCAGGCAGCCCAGCCCCAGGCCGCCCTCTGGGCAGCTGGAACACCCCTCAAACAAGTGGGGTGTGGGTTGCTTCTACACCTGCTCTCTCTAACAACCATCTCTCAATGGAGCCTCTGTTCTTATTGCTGACCTTTGCTCCCTCCCCACTCTCCCCACAACCTCCCTCCGCAAGGCCAGGTTCCCCCAGGGCTGCAAACATAACCTAGCAAAGAGGCCTCCAGGGCAGCTTCCTCTCAGTGGTACCCTCATCAAAAACAGTAAGTGGAGCACAAGATGTGCCAGGTCAGGTCCATACCGCAGCATGGCACCCCGGCCCTGTGGGTGTGAGACCTTCCTCCCAGCGGGTGACCTGGTGACCGCTGAAGCCACTTTCTAAACTCAGCCCCTGCCTGGCTCCAGAGCTGCCTTCCGCTGGCCCCTGCTCTGACCAGCCCTCAGTACCCACAGCCCAGAGCCCTCCCTTGGCAGGGACGCCCTCCTTGAGCCATCAGTTGTCCTTTTCTGTGCTTCTTTGTTCTCTGACTCCTCCATAAGACCCTCGAAGAGGACCGCAGGCTCAGGGAGGCCAGGACGTCCACACGTCCCATCCTCCGGCACCGTGTCCCACCACACAGGAGACAAGGCAGCCATTTATAGGCCACTGAACACCACCTTCAACCGCGGCAGCCCCAGGGGCACCTGCCCACCTTACACAGTGCTTCATTATTTAGTCTGTGTTCCACCTGCTCACGGATCAAATGCAGAGGCAGAACAGTCTAGAGGATCAAATGCAGAGGCAGAACAGTCTAGAGCTTTTTTTCTTTTCAGGCGAGACAAAAAATCTCTCAAACTTGAGGCGTGCTGTGCTTGCAGAGAAGGCTATGTGTTTATTCATGCTCTTCTTCCAAGGGTGACACATTCAGGACTCAATCCAACATCCTGTAGTGTGCCGCCAAACCCACCCATCAGCTGTGTCTGCAAACCACATACAGCCACACACAACACGCACAGACACTCCCCACTCAGGGAACTACACAGGCCACTCTCTACGCAACTGTTCCCCAACCCCTGGCTCCAGGCCCCAGAGGCCAAGGGCGGCACTGGGCAGCACACAGCCCACCTGCCTGCTCCGCCAGCCTGGCCTGCCTTCACTCACATAGCTCAGCTCTCTCCAAGGAAGTGCACAGTGGATGAGGGTGGTGTCGGGGGGCCTCATGCCCAAGTTGTCGCCCAAGCTTGGGGTGATGCAGGCTTGCCAGGAGCGGCCAGAGCACACACACACTCATGTGGCTGCCGGCACTGACAGGGACAGAGAGCTGTTCTCCAGTCTCAGAAGACTGATCTGACTTCCTGACTGCACCGAGGGCTCACTCCCATGGAGGCGACTAATGCCAACCTGGCGTTAACCATGTCATGTGATCCAAGACGCCCGCCCCAAGTGTCTCCGCTGATGTGCGTGATGCCCCGGGCCCCAGAGCATCACTGGCACATCTCAGCTACCAAGACTCAGCAGGAAACTTCAGGTTTCCCACAGGCTACCTGGTGGCTGGCCCTGCAGCTTGGTGGCTGAGACCACAGCTCCAAATCCAGGGGGCTCCTCAGGTCTTGAGGGAGTCCACACTGCCCAGGATGGTCAGATAACAACCTCCCAGTGACCACTAGGGGAAGCGGCCTCGGCTGAGTCCACTTACAGGGTGGCACAGGCGAGATCACAGACAGGGAGAGAATGAGTGTGTTCAGTAATTTTGCTCTCCTGGCCTCTTCCCCTGAGCTCTGGCCTTAGATCCCCTGCGCTGCTTAAGCGAGTTCAATGAGACTATTACTTTGCAACCGAAAGCATCTTGACTGTTACAGCCTTTAAAGTGAAATTCCCTGGACGCAGCCTACAGGGAAAAAGCAGAGAAAAAGAAGAGGGAAGTAGAACAAGGAGACGGTAAACGGCCCAGTGTCAGCAGCCAGGCGAGAAAAGAGGTGTCAGGGGACCGCCCCACCACTCTCGGGGACCACCCTGTGTGAACTAAGCCAGTGGCTTAGTTTCCTACACAGTCTTTTCACACCCACTGTGTGTGCCACACTCCACTGTCACCCCCACTTTACAGGGAAGCATCTGAGGTGCACAAAAGCTGGAGAACTCATCAGGGCCGAGCAAGGATCAAAGAGCAGCCAAGGCCCTGCCCCGACCACTCTGCCGTATGGCCGGACTGCTCTCACGGGGCTCCCACTCATTCATCCAGTCACGCCACACGCGCCGGGCACCTCTGCTGTGCGCCAGGCACTGGGATGTCTGCCAGCGCGGACATGAGGACGCCAGCTCCCTGACGTCCCAGGCCAGGTCTAATTTAGTCTAAACTCAAGTGGCTGTAGATGCCAGGCCGGCAGTGTAAGGGAAGAAGGGAGCAGGGCAGCAGTAACCACAGCCAGCAGTGACCAAGGGCCTGCCTATGCGACCCTAAAGACGTCACCTCGCTGAGTCCCCGCAGCACCAGTCTCCGAGGCAGGCTGTCGTCTCTGCACGGTAGACACATCACAGAGGCACCACGGGGTTAAGTCACTTGCCCAAGAGCACATTGCTCGGGAGACTGATACCAGGACCCGAAAGCAGACGCTACCACTGCAAACCCACGTTTGCAGTCACATCACCCTGCCGCCTGCTGGATGCAAGACTTGGCCAAGAGTGGGGTCTGCCAAGGCGAGGTGGGAACGCTGGGAGCTGCAGAGCCTGCGTTACACCCACAAAGGCCGTGGGTCTGCGACTCCAGCCAATGCTGGAATGCAGGCCTAGTGTTGCCAAATTTCCTAATTTTTCCACAGACTCCAGAAACCTAGATTTTTAAATGTGAATCCCTCCCTCTCCCCCAAGATTGGCAAGCAACACACGTTGAGCGTACCCAGGAGGGCCCAACGCTGCATGTCTGGTAGGAGAGTGAGCAGGAAGGCAAATGAACCCCAACTCCCTTCTTGGGATGTTAAGACCCATGGGCGACTGCTCCACAGGAGACTCAGGGCTGGACAACTTAACTTGGACCTGGTGAGAGGCAAACCCGGCTTCCCAGCTCCCTGGGGTGCTGGCCCAGAGGGCAGTGACTGGCCTCATGGCTACACACACAATAGGGAAGTTCATAGGGCCATTACCCCTCTCTAATCACTAACAAGATTTTGGCTTCTGAGCCAGGTCCCGGCTTCTTGTGTCATTTCTTTGGCACATCAAAGACAACAACCAAAATGCTAGCTGCTCACGCCCCTGTGTTCCTAATGCCCAAGCGTCCAGAACAAAGTGGAGAATGGCATTTTGTTATGCAGTCCAGTGGATAACTAGGGCACCATTTTCCTGACCAGGAAATACTGCCCGAGCCTCTGTCACAGCCCTAAACAACAGGCAAGAGAAGCCGCCTCCTTCACCAAGAAGCGAGGTAGGTTTTGAGAAGAACCATGTCTCACAGACTGCCCACACAAGACCAGGCTTTTATCCAGGAAGAACTGGAAATCTGCTGGATGTCTGAACCAACAGGGCCAGGAAGGTTGGGGGTGAATTAAGGCCCTGAGATCAAGCTTCCCAAACGAGGTCATTGTTGGGGTGGGAGCCCAGAGAATACCCGACCGAAATGGTATGTGCCTCCTGGATTTTGGACAAAGAACAGACTTCCCCCATTCCCAGGCTTTCCACAGAGTTCTTTGGTGCTTCAGACACTCTGTCCCCCTGATTGCCCATACCTTACACCCACTCACCTGAGCAGCCTGCCAGGGAGATAGGAAGCCCACTCCC